TTTGGAAAGCGCCAGGACGACCTTTTAGCTCCGTCGCTACACTGAGCACAACTTCAACCCTCATTAGGTTGTAAATTCTTCCGGGCAGAACCTTTCTCTCCCCATGTCTATAAAACATTATATAAGTTATGGTTTCGATAGCCAGGACAACCAACAGCCCTGGGAACACGGCTGCTCTTGAACTGGGACTGGCAGCAAACTCTTACCGAGAGTCCTTGAGCCCACAGAAACTTCGGCTGCCCGAAGCTGAGGGTCTGCAGGAGCTCAGGGAACACGGAGAGCCAGGCAGGGGCCGGGCAGTCACGTCTTGTACAACAGGAACTGTCGCTTTCAGCACAGGAACGCCGGGGTTTACACGTTCTGGGGCTGCTGCCGGAGTCCCAGGGCTTTCCATGGAATCATGGAATAACCTCAGCAGGAAGGGAGCCACAGGGATCATCCAGCCCAGCTGCTGGCCCTGCACAGACACCCCAATAATCCCACCCTGTGCATCCCTGGGAGCGCTGTCCAGATGCTCCTGGAGCTCTGGCAGCCTCGGGGCCGGGGCAATTCCCTGGGGAATCTGTCCAGAGTCCCACCACGCTCTGGAAAAGAACCTTTTCCTGATATCCAACATCAGCCTGTCCTGATACAGCTTCATAACCCAACTTTTCCCACACTCCTGGAACAGCACGGCCAAGGAAGCCTTTCCCTGGCAGTGCCCAGCTGCCAGCCCACGGTCCCAGCGACGTGCCCGTGACTTTGTCCCGTCTCCAGCCTCACCAAGCACCGCTCCGAGGGGAGGAGGGCAGGGACCTTTGGCTGTGTCACCGGGGCCTCAGCACGGCACGGCAGTTTTGGGCACCTGAGCGGAACCACCACGTCAAGCCCGAGCCCGGGGGTGGGGGATGCCGGTGAGAAATGTTTTGGCAGGAGCCGGAGATGCTGCCCCGCACCGCACGCCGGGCTCGGTGCTGCGCAGCCCCGCGGGGGGAGAGGCTTATCCCGCCGGGCTGTGCGGGCAGCAGCGCCCCAGCCCCGCGGGGGGATTATCGCCGCGGCCCCCCCTGCCCGCAGCCGGCCGGGGGGAGATAAGGCACGGCCGAGGGGGGCACCGACAGCGCCGGGGGCACCGACAACGGCGGGGGCACCGACAGCCGCGGGGGCACCGCGCCCGAGCGGGGCGGGCAGGGCCGGGCCGGCGCCCCCCGGCCCGCAACGACCTTGGGGAGCGCGGGGCCGGCGCGGCCCGACGCCCCCGCGCGGGGCGGCCCCGGGGGACCCCACCCAGCACCGGGCTCCCCCCCCGCGGGGCCCGCAGGGAGCCTTGGCCGGGCGCCACGACCCCACCCCTTCCCCCGGGCGGGCGGGCGCCGCAATGGAGGCCGGGGGGAGGCGGGGGCGGGGGGCGCCGGGGGGAGGACGGGGGAGAGAGGGGGGATGAAGGTGTCGCGGCGGCCCCGCGGAGGTGGTGAGGCGGGCGGGGGTCGCGGCGGGGCCGGGCCCGGGCGGGGGTCGCGGTGCGGGCGGGGGGGCCGCGCAGGCCCCGCCGCACCCGTCCCCGGCCGCCCCGCGCGGCGCCCGCCATTGGGCCGGGCGGCGGCGGGCGGGGCGGGCGCGCGGGGCGGAGGGCGCGCCCCGATTGGCCCCGCCCGCTGCCCATCAACACGCCTCCCGCTCGCCGCTCGCGCGGGGGCCGCCGGGGAGCGCAGTCCGCTCGCCCACCGGCACCTGCGGCGCGGCGCCGCCGAGGGACTACAACTCCCGGCAACCCCCGCGCTGCGCTTTCCCCCCCCACTCCTCCCCGCTCCCAACCCTTCCCTCCCCCCCCCTCCGCGACCCCCCCAGCACGGCCCGGCCAAGTACAACGTACGCGGAGGGGGGGGGGCAGCCCCCACCCCCCCCGCAACCGCCCCAACCGACCCCTCCCCACCCCCCCCGCCCCCGGGCAGCGGGGGGAGGGGCAGGCCCTACCCACCCCCCCCCCATGCGCGACCCCCCTCTCCCCCCAGCGCCCACCCCTCGTTCCGTACCGGGCGGGGGCCGAGCGGTCCGGGCGAGCGGAGCGGGCCGCGCCGTGCCGAGGCGGGCGGGCCGGGCCGTGCGGGCGGGCGGAGCAGGCTCTGGCCGCCCCGCGGGAGCTGCTCGCCGAGGCCCGTATGCGGCTCCTTCCTGCTCCGGCCGGGGCCGCCCCGCTCTTAAAGGGGCCGCGCGCCGCCCCCCCGCCCGCCGCCCCCCCCGCCCGCCGCCGCCGCCCGCCGCCGGGGGGGGCGCAGCGCGGGGGGGATCGGGGGGCGCGGCCGGGGGACACCGACAGGGACTCCGGGACCCCCCCCCCAAACACCCACCCACCGCGGGACGGCACGAGCCACGCGTGGCACACGGTGTCGCCTCCTCGCCCCCCACGGCAGTGTCGCACAGACCCGCGCGTGGCACACGGTGTCACCTCCCCCCCCTCAGTGTCACACAGACCCCAGACCCGCGCGTGGCACACGGTGTCACCTCCCGCCCCAGGAGTGTCACACAGACCCCAGACCCACACGTGTCACTTCATGGGGTACCTCCCGCTGCAATGTCACATGACCCCAGACCCACTCGTGTCCCCACCGGGCCACCCCCAGGTCCCATCTGGGTCACCCTGCCCACGGGCCACCCCACGGGTCACCCTGGTGTCCCCCAGACCCTCTCGTGTCACCCCGCGGGGCACCTTCGCTGGCTCCAGACCCACTCCAGACCCACTCGTGTCCCCACCAGGCGCCTCTTTGAGCCCCTTCTGTGTCACCCTATTCACCTGTCACCCCTGGGGCACCTCTGTGCTCCCCAAACCCACGGGTGTCACCCCACAGGTCCCTTCTGTGTCACCCTACTCACCTGTCACCCCTCGGGGCACCTCTGTGCTCCCCAAACCCACGGGTGTCACCCCACGGGGCACCCCTCGGGCCTTCTGGGTCATCCTTTACGTGTCACACCCCCAAAGCCACTCGTGTCACCCCTCGGGTCACCTGTGGGTCACCCCCTTCCCGCGCCCCAAGACCCACGCGTGTCCCCACAGGTCCCCCCCACTGACACCTCTCCGAGTCACCCCCCCCGGCTGTCACCTCCCCACGCCCCCAGCCCCACTCGCGTCACCCCACAGGTCCCTCCCTCCCTCGCAGGCCACCTCCCCAGCCCACCGCGTGCCACCCTCCGTGTCCCCAGTGTCCCCGCAGCCCTCCCCTGCCACTCGTGTCCCTCGGGACCCCCCCCCGCCGCTGCCCCCCCACTCTGGGGAGGGGACACGGAGCCCAAGGTCACGGTGGGCTCGGAGCCAGCCCGGCAAGGACGGGGCGAGCCCGGGCTGCGGGCCCGCCCGGGGCCGGGGGGGACACGGGGACACGGCCGCGCTGTCCCCACGCGGGCGGGGCCGCGCCACCCCCGGCACCGGCACCCCCCCTCGGCAGGGGAGCAGCTCCCGCAATAATTCCAGCGTGGAAATAAAATAAAATAAACCAAAAAAAAGCGAATTTTCGGCTGGGGTTTGGGATTCATGAAAAGGAAGGGAAAGCGACAAAAGCCAAGCTCTGATCAGCGCCCCCCTTCCCTTCCCTTCCCCCACCCATCCTCCTCCTCCTCGGGGGTCCCCGTTCCGCGCTCGGCTGGTCGGGATTTCCCCTTTTCCCCCTTTTTTTTCCTTAAATAACCCCGGCTCAGCTCCTCGCCCGCCCCTCACCCTTCCCCCGCCCCCCCGGGGGGGTTTTGGGGTGGTTTTAGGGCAGTTTTGGGTCATTAACCCCATTGAGCAGGTGGGGAAACTGAGGCAGGACGGGGAACCGCGGCGGGGGGTGGGGATTGAGGGGTCCCTAAACCCCCACGCGGAGTGGGGGGAGGGTTCAGGAGGTTTTTGGGGTGGGGTTTGGGGCGGGGGGGCCCGTCCCTGCCGTGCCCCAGCAGCCCCAGCTCCCGACTGCTTTCGCTTTCCCCCAGCACGCCTCGGGCACGCCCGGGGTGCCCCCCCGAAATATCAACCCCCAAAGTGCCCCCCCTGCACCGAAACCCCCCCAAAATCAGCTGTGGAAACCCCCCCATGAGGCTGGGTGGGGGAGAGAACCCCAACTCACCCCACTGCGCCCTAAAAACTGAACAGGGGTCGGGGATTCCCCCTTTTCCAGCCTGGGCACCCCCAATTCCTCCCTGCACCCCCAAAATCCCGCTGTGGTAGAAAGGCCGTGGTCACCCCCACCCTGGGGACCCCCCCAATTCCCAGCTGGCACCACTGGACGCTGGCACAGCTCCCAGGGGTGCAGTGGGGCCATCCTGGGCTCTGCAGGGCACCCCAGAGTCGTGGGGGACCCCAAAACATCAGCAAAAAACAAACCAGGACCCCCCAAAGCAGCCCGGAGTCAGGGACCAGGCATGGGACCCCCAAAAATGCCCCAGAAGGAGCCTGGAATTAGGGATGGCACCATGGAACCCCCAAAAATGTCCCAGGAGCCTGGAATTAGGGATGGCACCATGGAACCCCCAAAAATGTCCCAGAAGGAGCCTGGAATTAGGGATGGCACCATGGAACCTCCAGAAGTGCCACTGCAGGTGCCTGGAATTTGGGATGACACTGTGCTGGTGTCACCCCGTGGGCCCTTGCATCATTCACAGCACAAAAACTGCAAAATATTTTCCCATTTTGGGCCCAATTTGTTTTTGTTTTTTTTTCAGCTTCGCCCAGCTCCTGCTCGCCCCAAATATTGGACACCCCTAAATATTTTTCACTCCCCAGGTATTTCCAAGTGGTTTTAAGGTCCTTGGATTCTATCCTGCCTCGTGCCAGGATAATTCCGGTGTCTCCCTCTTCCACTGGAGGGCCGGCACATCCCAGGGAGAGCCACCGGCACCTCCCAGAGCTCCCGGCTGGAATTCTGGCTCCAAAGGGGTTAAACTCACCCGGGCGCACAACCGAGGAGAGAAACCGCCTGGAAATGTAAAGTGCCGTTTATTTATTATTTTCCCTCCCTCCCCATCCATGATGAAAATATTGAGTTTAAAAAAAAAAAAAAAAAAAAAAAAAAAATTAATTGCACCACCAAACTGCTCCATCCACGCTCTCCTCCTTCTCCTCCTCTTCTTCCTCCTCCAAAACCCAGCACCAAAACCTATGGAAAATAGCCCGAAAATTGAGGAACCTTCCCTGCTTCCCACATAAAATAAGAGGCAAAATCCACCACATCGAGCACCCCGCAGCTCCAGGGCAGCTTGGCCAGGCATGAGCTGAGCCAGCAAGCACAGACCCCTCAAATCTGGGGTGTTCTCCCCAATATTGGGGTGTTCCCCCCCAAAAAATAGGGATGTCCTCCCATTTGGGGATGTGGCTGCCCTGTGGATTTGCCCCAGGCAGGGCAGTGCCTTCGTCCTGTGCTGGAAAACAGGAAAGGAAAAGGGATGGGGGATTTGGGGTTACCCAGCCCTGGTAGTTAATTTGGGGGGGGGCTGCCATGGTGGGACCCAGGGCAGGCAGGGGGATGGCAGCTGCCAGCCTGACCGAGTGAAAAACAACCAAAAAAAAATAGAAGGAAAACACAAAAAAAATTCCCACCAAACTTCCCAAATGCTCACAGGGGGCTCAGGGGTTGCCAAGCCCATGTGGGGAGAGGAGGGGAATGATTCACCCCAAAATCCACGTGGTGGGAAGGGAGGGGATCAGGGCCTGGGGGGCTGCAAGGTCCTCGATGGGAGGGACAACCCAGGGACAGCGTGGGCTGGGGTGGGCTCTGACAGGGAATCCTGGAGCTCTGCCACATCCACAATGGCTGAGGCCACCCCTGGGATGGGCTGGAGGCAGCTGGAGGGGGAAAATGCAGCCTGGAGGGTTCCCTGTGCCCCGATGGGATCAGGAGAGGGAGCCCAGCCCCGGGCACGGCTGCCGGGAACAGCCGGGCTCTGCCTCCACCTCTCCGGGGAAGGAAAACCCAAAATCTACTCTTTGCCCTCACCTGGACACTGAGAAGTGGGAGCCATCCCCATCCCATCCCCATTCCTCCCTCCCCTGAACACCCAGGGACAGGGGCAGGCTTTGAAAGAACTCTTTAAAAATCAAACCAGCAAAGAGCGATCTCTGCTCTGCCCAGAGCCCCGCTGTGTCCCCAGGCAGGACAGTGACACTGCTCTGGGCCACCCCGGGCAGGGTTTCTCCATTCCTGATCCCACCAATTCTCCATCCCAGAGACAAAACCAGGGATGAGGTGAAGCATCAGCTGCCCCTCATCCCCGCCCCACCTCACACCCTCCATTCCCTTCCTTTTCCTTTTTAATCTGAACACATTTCCAAAAAAAAAAAAAAAAATCTGAACCAAAACAAAAATAAACCCAAAATAAAGAAAAACCAACATAAGCAGCACCACAATTCCCAAGTGTCAGGAGCTCCAGAGCTGGAGCAGAGGCCTGGAACACCCCCACACCCGAAGGGGCCGATCCCGGAGGATGGAGCCGCCCCGGGGCTGCGGCTCTGGGGGCCGGAGATGTTTTGGTGCTGGGGCTCGGTGGGCTGGGAGGGAGGAAGGAGAGGAAGCGGTGCCAGAGGCAGGAGTGCCGGGCCGGGCTCACACGGCAGCTCGGGTGGGAGTGCTGGGCTGGTTCAGCCGCAGCGTCCGGCACAGCCAGCCCGCGAAATCCACCTCCTCCACCTCGGAGCGCTTGATGAACGTGTGGCTCTGCAAGCACAGGGGAAAACACGGTCAGGAACACCCCAGAGGAGCATCCCAGATGCCAAAAAGCCAACCCTGTGCTGTGGGATATGCCCTGGAGAGGGGGGAAGATCCTGGTGCCAGATCCTGGAAAGAGGATTTGGGGAAAACATTTGTTCCTTGCAGCCCTTCCACCACCACAGGGAGGAATTCCTGTCCAATCTCCCATCCATCCCTGCCCTCTGGCCATTCCCTGGGTCCTGTCCCTCCATCCCTTGTCCCAGGTCCCCCTCCTGGTGCCTCTTCAGGCCCTGGAAGGGCTCTGAGCTCTGCCTGGAGCTTCTCCTCTCCAGTGAACCCCCCCAGAGCTCCAGAGGGGCTCCAGGCCCTCCTCTGGACTCTCTCCAGGTCCTTCTGCAGTTATCCCAGAGATGGAGGCAGCTCTGCAGGTGGGGTCTCACCTGAATCTCCCCTTTCCCTGCTGCCCAGGACTCTGCTGGATCTCTGGGATGAGAGCACAGCTGGGATCCAGCCCTCGGTGCCACCCACCTGCCCGGGTGAGGAGCCAGGGCTGTCCCAGGCCCCTCAGCAGAGCCGGGCCAGGCTCCCAGCAGAGATCCACCACTGGATAAAGGGTGGATCTCTGCTGTCCCTCCCTCTGCCCGGCCCCATCTGCCTCATCCCGAGCTCAGCCTGGGAATTCCCAGCCTTTGGAGCAAGAGGGATGGGGCAGCAGCTGGCAGAGCTGGTGCCACCCCAGTGCAGCAGAAAAATCCTCTCCCCACTCACCATCAGCATCTTCAGATCTGCTCGTTCTGCTGGGTTTTTAATTAAGCTGAAATGAGAAGAACAAGAGAGCGAAGCCACGGTGAGATTCCTTGTGGGAATGTGGGGATCAGGCTGGAGAAGCTCCAGCTTCACCCAAAGCCCTGGGAGGCCCCAGCCCTGCCAGCTCAGCTCCCAGGGAGAGCTGCAGGATCTCTCTCTTCCAGACTGTGGGGACAAATTGTGCCCTGCAAACGGAGAAAAGGCCCTAAAGCTTGCCAGGAATCTGGGATTTTTTTTTAATATCCAATCTCTGGTTTACTGGGAGCTCTGGCAGCACCTTCAGGTGTCCCTGTGCCCACGGGGTGATTCAGCCCCAGGATCTGCTCCACCACCCCCCTCGCCAGGCTCAGATTTAGAAGGAACTGGGATCCTGCTCAGCAACCCCACAAATAAATTGCTTTTATTCCAACCCCTCACAAGGCAGGAGCTCCCAGCACAAGGTGGGATCAGGCAGGGAGAGAGAGAGATCAGGCAGAACACAGAGGGTGGAGCTGCAGAGCTGTCAAGGAGCACGTCCAAGTCTCCACCTTCAGCCAGGAGATGAAATCCTCACCATTTATTTACAAACTCCTGGAAATCTTGTGTGAAGACTCCACTTGGCAGCTTGGGAGGTGGCTGTGGAGAGAAGGAAAAGGGGTTCCTGCACCACTCCTGTGTTACTGTGCCAAAAATCAGCATCAGCTGCAGTGTCAGGGAGCTGTGCTCTACAGCTACCCTCATCCTCCTCATCCTCACTGCATTTCCAGCCAGGAAAACCCTTCCCTGCCATTCCTTCCCCTGCTGCTCCAGCTCGCTCTGCATCTGGGGGACCCCACACTGAACCCCAGCCAAAGCTGGGAAATCCCCAAGCATCCCAATCCTAAATCCAACCTCACAAATCCCAGCTCTGGCCATTCCTATGGCTTATGAAACAATCCCAAAATGAGAATTTTCCATCACCTTGGGAAGAGAAGCTGCCCTTTCCACTTGTTTGCGAGAGCTGCCCTTGCAAGGTGGGTAGGACCAGGAGAATGGCCTTAAGCTGAAGGATGGAAGGTTTAGATGGGATTTTGGGAAGAAATTCCTCCCTGGGAGGGTGGGAGGCCCTGGGATGGATTTCCCAGAGCAGCTGTGGCTGCCCCTGGATCCCTGGAAGTGTCCAAAGCCAGGCTGGAGCAGCCTGGGACAGTGGGAGGTGACCCTGCCATGGCAGGGGTGGCACTGGGTGACCTTTAAGTTCCTTCCAACCCAAACCCAAACCATTCTGGGATTCCATGAGTGACCAAACATTCCAGATCCCACCCTGACTCAGCAGAGCAGGGACATCCCTGCGGAACCTCTGGGAATGCCAGCAGAGCCCTGGGAAAACAAACACCCACCTCGTTAACGATGTAATCCAGCAGCTCAAAGATGGCCATGGCAGGCCTGGTGTCCATCCCGTGGCCTGGGGGGTGACACGACACAAACGGTGCTGAGAGGCTGCTCAGGGCTCAGTTTGGGGTGAAAAACACGACTTTGGGGGGAGCTCTGCTGGGAGAGGCTGAGGCAGCTCCCAGGGGAATTGAGTCATGGCTAAAGAGGAATCAAGTCCATTCCCAGAATTTGGATTTCTTTCCCCAGACCTCCAGTCCAGATTTATTTCTGTTTGGACAGCACCAGACCATCTACTCTGGCTGGCTGCTCCCAAGGAAACGGCTCCAGCAGAGCCTCCCTGGAATCCTGGTGCTGTTTGGTGCTTCTGTCAGAGCTCCCAGCAAAGCTCTTCCCAAAAAGCTGCCTCAGGCCTGAGGAGAACCTGAGGAGCACAAGGGGCTGTGACAACGTCCCTCAAGCCATCCTCTCCACGGGAGCCCCGTTCCAGCTGTGCCCACAGCACGGGGGGCTGAGCCTTTCTGTGGGACACAGGAGGGTCTGTAAGGAGCCCACGGAGCCTTCAACAGATCCCAAATCCATCCCCACGCTCCCACCTCGACTCCACCGACCTGTGGCGGGGTGAGCCGTGCCGGAGCGCCGTCTGTGACTTCCCTGGGAACGTTCCCACCAGAGCCTCCTCCAGGGCAGCTCTCCCAGCCGCCCCAGCCAGACCCCAACCCCGCTCATCCCCCATGGAAGCGTTGCTGCCGATGCACACCACAGCCCCTACCACTGACGGGGCGTCCTGGGGGCCTGGCCCGCGGCGAGATGCTGGGGGACTCTCCCTCCGCCCCGTCCACCACAGGACGGCCAAAAATTGCTTCCAGTTCCTTGGAGTCTGGCGGGGGGATTGGGTACCTTCCGATCGACAGCTCCACTAGGGACAGCCCCATGCTCCAGATGTCCGACTGCACCGAGTAGTGCGTGCCCTGCAGGCGCTCGGGCTGCGGGAGAGGAGAGCACAGCCGGGGTCAGGGGGAACGGGAATGGGAATGGGATAATGGCACAGGGAACAGGGATAATGGGGAGAGCACAGCCGGGGTCAGGGGGAACGGGAATGGGATAATGGCACTGGGAATGGGAACAGGGATAATGGCACTGGGAACAGGGATAATGGGGAGAGCACAGCCAGGGGAATGGGAACGGGATAATGGCACTGGGAACAGGATAATGGGGAGAGCACAGCCGGGGTCAGGGGGAACGGGATAATGGCACCGGGAACAGGGATAATGGCACTGGGAACAGGGATAATGGCACTGGGAACAGGGATAATGGGGAGAGCACAGCCGGGGTCAGGGGGAACGGGAATGGGAACGGGATAATGGCACTGGGAACAGGGATAAGGGCACTGGGAACAGGGATAATGGGGAGAGCACAGCCAGGGTCAGGGGGAACGGGAATGGGAACGGGATAATGGCACTGGGAACAGGGATAAGGGCACTGGGAATGGGATAATGGGGAGAGCACAGCCAGGGGTGAGGGGGAACGGGAATGGGAACGGGATAATGGCACTGGGAATGGGATAATGGCACTGGGAACAGGATAATGGGGAGAGCACAGCCAGGGTCAGGGGGAACGGGATAATGGCACTGGGAACAGGGATAATGGCACTGGGAACAGGGATAATGGGGAGAGCACAGCCGGGGTCAGGGGGAACGGGAATGGGAACGGGAATGGGATAACAGCACTGGGAACAAGATAATGGGGAGAGCACAGCCAGGGATGAGGGGGGACGGGAATGGGATAATGGCACTGGGAATGGGAACAGGAATGGGAACGGGATAATGGCACAGGGAACAGGGATAATGGCACAGGGAACAGGGATAATGGGGAGAGCACAGCCAGGGGTGAGGGGGAACAGGAATGGGAATGCGGATAATGGCACTGGGAATGGGAACAGGAATGGGGATAATGGGGAAAGCACAGCCAGGGGTCACAGGAAATAGGAACAGGAATGGGAATGGGAACGGGATAATGGCACTGGGAATGGGGATAATGGCACTGGGAACAGGGATAATGCAGAGAGCACAGGGAGGGGCTAAGGGGGAAACGGGAACAGGGATAACAGCACTGGGAATGGGGAAATAACAGCACCCAAGGAATGGGAATAATAGCACTGGGAATGGGGATAACAGCACCCAGGGCATGGGAATGGGGATAACAGCACTGGGAATGCCCAAAGGCCTGGGCTCCAAGGGAACTGGAGAAGGACTTTGGACAAGGGACAGGACACAGGGAATGGCTCCCACTGCCAAAGGCAGGGATGGATGGGATATTGGGCAGGAATTCTGCCCTGTGAGGATGGGCAGGCCCTGGCACAGGGTGCCCAGAGCAGCTGTGGCTGCCCCTGGATCCCTGGAAGTGTCCAAGGCCAGGCTGGAGCAGCCTGGGACAGTGGAAGTGTCCCTCCCCATGGCAGAAGTGGGACTGGGTGAGCTTTAAGGTCCCTTCCAACCATTCCATTCTGGAATTCTGGAATATCCCAAAGGCCTCTCCATGGCAGCTCTCCAGGGAAAGGACAGTCCCAGAAGGATCATGTGCAAAGGGGATGGAAAAGAAGGATGATGTGCAGACAAAAGCACTTGGAGCTTCTCATCCACACTCCCAACTCAGCAGCACTCCCAGCTACTTGTGTTTGGGAGTCTGGAACACCCAGCAGGAACCTACTTCCCTGTGTACTAAAATCTAAAGAACTCAGCTTATCCATAAAAATGTATTTTCCTGCTCTCTGCTGTTAACACCCAAGAGGAATCAGAGGAGCAGAAAATCCACTCGAGGTTTTGGCCATTAAAATAAAAAATTAGAAATAAATCAATCCATGCAAGTCATGCCCACTGGCAGCTCTGAGGCAGCTTGGAGCCAGGGCCTGGAAGCAGAGGGGACAGGATTTTTAAATAGCCCCTGTCTAACTATAACTGCACTTGAATAACCATTCCCAAAATACAGCTCAGACCTCAGGATCCTTCCCTGGGAGGGTGGGCAGGCCCTGGCACAGGTTCCCAGAGAAGCTGTGGCTGCCCCTGGATCCCTGGAAGTGCCCAAGGCCAGGCTGGACAAGGACTGGAGCAACCTGGGACAGTGGAAAGTGTCCCTGTGAACAGGATGGGGATGGAAACAGCCGAGATGAACCCAAACTACCCAAAAAACCCCGTGTGGAAGGAACTTACAGACATGTAGGACCGAGTTCCCACAAAGGAGTTGGCCATGGAGTCAATGAGCTGCCCGCTGACCCCGAAATCACAGAGCTTAATCTCCCCTCGGGAATTCACCAGGATGTTGGAGGGTTTCACATCTGGGAACAGCGAGAGAGGGGAGTGTGAAGGTGGCTCTGGGTGAGACCTGGCACTGCAGGCTGGGAGTTCCAGGGCCCTGCTCTCACCTCTGTGCATGATTTGGTGCTTCTCCCGCAGGTAGGCCAGGCCCCGCAGAACCTGGGAGGAACCCAAAGGCTGCATCAGAGCAGAGCTCAGCGAAGAGCTTTGCCCTCAGCTCAGGGAGAGCTGCCCTGTGGTGCCCATGTCCCTCAGGGTTTGCAATTTACCCCCAGTTCCATCACAGATTTTGGGTGAAACACCCAAAAAAGCTTCTCCCAAACCTCCTCGAAGTGAAGGCAGCATTATCCAGAGGAGTTGGAGGTGGGGAAAAGGGCTGGGAATATTTCCCCTCTGCTCTGGCCTCTTGGCCCAGGAAAGTGCAGTCCCCAGGACTGGGAAACACAGCAAGCTTCCAGGGCAGCCCAGGCATTATTCCCAATCCCTGCCCAGCAAATCCCCTCTGGAAGCCTGAGCAGCCCCGTCACTCACCGCTATACTGACTTTGCCCAGGATTTCCTCAGGAATTCTTTTGGCTTCTTTCAGTACTTGATCCAAAGAGCCACCATCCTGAAATAAAGAACATGGGAATGATCAACACTGCAATTCCCAGCAGGAAAACAGAGCAGCTGGGTGGGCAGGGGAGCAGGTGGAGGGTGACCAGCACTGAGCACACTCCTTTTCCAGCCAAAGAAAAGGATCTGGTGATCTGAGCTCAGGTTTATCACTGAAAACTTTTTATTTTTAACAGCCCTGCTTCTGTTGGTTCTTTGCTTCCTTCCATCAGTGTAAATGCCAAGATGATGCTGATTTGGAGGAGAAATAACATCGTTCTCTACCAGAAACAACAGAATATGCTCACTGGGCCTCTCAGCAGGCTCTGCAGAGCAGTGGGCTGGCAACATTTCCGTTTGGCCAAGCCCCAAACCTCTGCTTCCTCTTCCCAAAAGTCGCTGTCTCCCTCATTCCGAGGCCTGAGCAGGAATGTGTGGCTCCCACCAGGAGCAGAGTGGCCCGAGCAGTGAGCTGCCAGTGCCCCAGGGCACTGAGCTGGCAGGGAGAGGGCACTGGGAGGGTGCAGGGCAGGGGCAGGGCCTCACCATGTGCTCCATGCAGATGGAGATCTCCCCGTCGCTGTAGAAGGCTCCGTAAAACCCCACGATGTAGGGGGAGTTGCACTCGTGCAGCACCTGCAGCTCCCGGATGATCTGGTTCCTGATGGCTGGCTTGATTTCCAAATGGATCAGCTGCCAAGAGAGAGAAAACAGGCGAGGTGTGACTCCTGGGAAGGAAAAGGATTGATGGGCAGCAGCCCTGAGTGCTGGGAAGAAATGAGACCTTCAAGGGAGGCGCTGCTTTGGAGCAGGATTTTTCCCATTCTCCCATTTCCCATATTGAGGATAAAGTGCCAGGACATAGGGAACGGCTTCCCACTGCCAAAGGGCAGGGAGAGATGGGATATTGGGAATAAACCCTGTGAGGGTGGTGAGACCCTGGGATGGAATTCCCAGAGAAGCTGCGGGTGCCTCTGGAAGTGCCTGAGGCCAGGTTGGATGGATCCTGGGACAGTGGAAGGTGTCCCTGGCCATGGCACTGGGTGGGACTGAAGGTCTCTCCGAGCCCATCCAGTGGGGGATTCCACGCTGAAGGCAGAGGAGAGCTCTGTGCTGCTCAGCCACAGAAGGCGCCGGGATTGCACCGGACACGGGTGGAAAGACGAGTCAGGAGTTTGAACTCAGCCCCTCTGAGTCAGCAGCCAGGAGCATTTTCACAAGCTCTGGAGGTGTTGTAAGAAGGTGCTCCGAGATCAAGGAAACCACAGAAAAGAAAAAGCCCCTGTGAAGGTTCTGCACCAGAACGAGCAGCGGCTTTTGGGGCTGCACGTGGGTCAGAGCACAGTGGGGAGGGAAACACCCTGTGCTGGTGAAAGGAGGCCCTGCCCAGGGAACTGGGTGAGCTGTAAGGCCCCCTCCAACCCAAACCAATCCACGTTTCCATGATCCCAGCAGCAGGAGGGAGGGGAGACTCTGGAGGAGGCAGAGCAGTGGTTGTGCTGCTCCTGCCAAGCACAGCCTCTCCCACCAGGCAGTGAAGCAGCTCCTGATTTTCTGCTCTGTGGCACCACTGTGGATGTTCCCAATGAAGGCGAGTCTGTCCCGGCTTGGAATGACCTTGGGATGTGTTAAATGAGGCTGAGGGATGTGAGTGCTAAACCCATCCTTCCCACTGCCACCTCCTCAGCCACGACCTACAATCCTCAAGAGATCCAACTCCAGTCACTCCATCCATCAGAATTGGGAAAAAAATGTTTTCCAGAGCCCAGGGATCTGTCCCTGGGCGTGCAGCCTCTCCCAAAGGAGAGAGCTCCATCTGGGAGCAGCCAGGACTCTGCTCCTGGCCATGGTGAGGTGGTGGAGGTGCAAATGCAGAGAGAATCCAACCAAACGCAGCCCTCCCCGAGGCAGGGAGAGCTCCAGGTGCTCCCCAGCATTCCCAGTCCCTCGTTACCTTCCGTGCCATAATGAGCCCTGAGGGTTTGTGCTGCACTTTGGTGACCACCCCGCCATTGCCAGCGCCCAGCTCGGAGATCCTCTCGAAGTCATCATCCTTCAGCTCCCCCACTTTGGCTTTCTGCGTCAGGAAAGCTTCCAGGCGCTTCTTCTGCTGCTCATCCAGCTCCAGCTCCTCCAGCTTCTTCTGCAGGTCCACCAGGTTAGCCCTGGAGAGGGGAGGAGGAGATGGGAGATGGTCAGCACCAGGTGGCAGGAAAGTGGAGGGAAATGATGGAAAAGCATCCCCTGAAATGTCCTGAGCCCCCAACAATGGGATCACCTGGACAGGGAGACCTGGAGAAGGCCCTGCCCAACACACACAGCCCCTCTGGAGAGGAGCTGGGGAGCAGTCAGGTGTTTTGGGAGAGCCAAGGAACAGAAAAAATCCCTCGGCCCTTAAAGAGGCAGCAGCAGTTGCTGCTCCCTGTCCCGGGGAGCCAAACTTGGCTTTGGCTGTGTAACACGAGAAGGGCTTTCCATGGGGTCCAGCAGCTCCGTTACACCCCCACCCCAAATGCTGAGCACAAAGGGGGGTCTGTGCTCCCCCAGCACCAGCTGCCGAGCTCCCCCCGCCTGTGCCAGCTCCAGCTGCTCTGTCCCAGTTGCTGCCACCCCCTTGTCCCTCCTCACCCTCACTGGGGCCTGTCCGGAGGGTCTCACCCCATCCCTTCCCTCAGCACCCCACATGTCCCACCTGCCGAGCCCCCACTGCTGCCCCAGGTGTCCCCCAGACCCCGGGTCTCTATCCCAGCTCCACCCTGGATCTCCAGGCCTGGATCCGGCACTCCCCAGGCCTGAGCTGCCCCTGCAAACCGGGGGAGCCGGAGCAGCCTCCCCCTGCCCGTCCCATCCCTACCCCACCCCTTCCAACCCCCAACCTGCTCCCCGGCAATGCCTCCCTGACCCTAACCTGCCCCACATCGGGCCCACCCAGCCCCCCGGGCCCGTCCCAGCCCCCCGGGACCTCCCCCGCTCCCCCCGGGCCTGTCCCAGCTCCCCCCTCAGACCTTCCCGGGCCTCCCCAAACCTGTCCCGGCCCCTCCAGGCCTTCCCTGCCCTTCCCCACGCCCCGTGCCCGCCGTGCCCCGACCCCCGAGCCCGGTGCCCGCTCTGTCCCGGCCTCCCCGCTCTGCCCAGGCCCGGTGTCCCCGAGGCCCGGTGTCCCCCCCTGGCCCCGCGTCCCCCCCCAGGCGCAGCCCCGCCGCCGGGGCGGTCCCGGCCGGGCCTGACTCACTCGGCGGAGCCGTCGGGGCTGGGCCCCTCGGCGGCGCTGGGGGCGATGTTGAGGGCGGGCAGCACCGGCTTCCTCTTGGCCGGCATGGCCGGGCCGGGCCGCGCCTGCGGGGCGGGGGCGCGGCCGGCGCGGGGGCGCGCGGGGGCGGGGCCCGCACGGGCCGACCGGGGCGGGACTGAGCCCGGGGCGGGGCCGGGGCCGGTACCGGGGCGGGGGCCAGAACCGGGGCGGGGCCGGAGGGCGGGGCCACGGTCGGGCCCATGGAGGCGGGACCGGGAGCTCCGCGGGGCGGGACCCGGAGCTCTGTGGGGCGGGACCCGGAGCTCCGTGGGGCGGGACCCGGGGCTCTGTGGGGCAGGACCTGGGGCTCTGTGGGCTCCGTGGGGCGGGACCGGAGCTCTGTGGGGAGGGACTGGAGCTCTGTGGGGCGGGACCGGAGCTCTGTGGGCTCCGTGGGGCGGGACCGGAGCTCTGTGGGGCGGGACCGGGGGCTCCGTGGGGCGTGACCGGGGGCTCCGTGGGGCGGGACCTGGGGCTCTGTGGGCTCCGTGGGGCGGGACCGGGGGCTCCGTGGGGCGGGACCGGAGCTCCGTGGGCTCCGTGGGGCGGGACCGGGAGCTCCGGGAGGGCGGGGCCCCGTACGGGCACAAGGGGCGGGGCTTCAGAGCGCGGAAAAACACGCGCGGCTTGGCGAAGTCTCGCGAGATCTCTCTGAGGGGAGCAGCGTGGCGGAGGTTCCCGCCCGGGGGGCTCCGGTGGGCTCCGGTGGGCTCCGGCTGTGCGGGCCGAACGTTAATTAAATCATCGCTAATTAGCGACCCAGCAGTGGACAGCAGCCCCTCAACCCCGCCTGCTCTGCTCACCCCGTCCATGCCCGGTGCCAGGCGCCGGGACCCCCGAGGCTCCTCATGAGGGGCCGCGAGCAGCCGCGGCCGGCGGCAGCGGCGGCGCCCTTTGCCCGGTCCCGGACGGGTGGATGGGGCCATAAACAGGGAGCAGCCGCCGCCTGCCCGGGCAGAGGCCGTGGCGGGGCCGATAAGGGGCCGTGGCCTTGTCCCCTGGGCCGCACGGAGCCTTCGTCAGCGCCGTCCCCTCCCTGCGCCCGGACCCGCCGGGGCGGCGCTCACCGCGGGGCCGCCAATGCTGAGCGGTGCTGGTGCCCCTCAGTGCCGGGGATGAAGGCTCGGCACAGTGAGTCAGCCCCAGACAGCCGCGGAATCCAGGATGGTCTGCGTAAGGATGGGTTTTAAACACATCCCATTCCACCCCTGCCGTGGCAGGGATACCTTCCACCATCCCAGGCTGCTCCAAGCTGGCCTTGGACACTTCCAGGGATCCGGGGGCAGTCACAGCTGCTCTGGGCACCTGCGCCAGGGCCTGTCCACCCTCACAGGGAACAATTCCTGCCCAATATCCCATCTACCCCTGCCTCTGGCAGTGGGAAGCCATTCCCTGTTCCTGTCCTTTGTCCAAAGTCCTTCTCCAATTCCCTTGGAGCCCAGTCCCTTGGGCATTCCCAGTGCTGTTATCCCCATTCCCATGCCCTGGGTGCCGTTATCCCCCATTCCCAGTGCCATGATCCCCCATTCCCAGTGCCATGATCCCCCATTCCCAGTGCCATTATCCCCCATTCCCACTGCCATGATCCTCCATTCCCAGTGCTGTTATTCCCATTCCCAGTGCCGTTATCCCTGTTCCCGTTCTCCCCTCAGGTCCTCCATGTGTTCTTCCCATTATCCCCATCCCCATTCCCAATATCCCGTCCATCCCTGCCCTCTGTCCATGGGAATGCATTCCCTGTGTCCTGTCCCTCCATCCCTTGTCAATGGTCTTTCTCCAGGGAGAACCACAGGGCACCAAGGCTTTTTGGATAAGCCATAAGTGGTAGAGCCCAAGCAAACATCCCCGGATATTGCACACATCAAATGTGATTAATCCCCAGACGTCTGAAAAAAGGGAAACTGTCCCCAAAAGTGGGTGAAGGTTCATGGACAATTATAGCACCTGGACTTCGCCCGGCAGCCCCAGCCCCTCCTGCCCCGCTTGGCAGAGGAGCACAAAAACATTTGGCTAATGAGTTACGGGTCCAGCCCCGGGGTGGCCCTGCCATCTCACTCTGACAGCCCCAATCAGGGCTGGGACATTTTGCAATCTGGGATATTATTTCTCTGCAGTTGGAGTTTAAACTTTGCCATTTGGGCCAGGGAATCACAAAGGAGGAGGAAGAGGAGGAGGGTGAAGGCCGGGCTTGTTGTCCACCGCGCTTGCCTGTGCTCAGAGAGGGTTGAGAGGACAATCTATGGCATCTCCCTCAGGTATGTCCTGGCTGTCACCACTCAACGAGACCCCATGGGGCCATCAGGGTTCTCTGAGAGGACTGAGGGTGAAGGACAGGGTGCAATAAAGCCCCGTGTCCACCTTGGCCAGACAAATGCCAAGTAGTGACAGCTGTCCCCAGCTGGCTTGGAGGACACTTGAGTCACTTGGGTGGCTGATGGGTTGGTTGGTTGGTCAGTCAGGCAGAGTTGACTGGTCAGTGCATTGGTCAGTGGGCTGGTCGTTTGGGCAGTCCATCCATTGGTCACTTGGCCAACAGGTTGACCATTTGGTGTGTCTCTTGATCAGTTCATTGACTGACTGGTCAACGGGTTGGTCAGTGGATCAGCTGGTTGGGTAGCTGGGATGTCAGTTGGCTGACTGGCCAGTTGGGTTAGTGGTCAGCTGGCCCAGTGGCTCTGAGCCGAGGGTCTCAAGCAGTGCCTGGGGTAGCAGTGAGGGACTGAGTCCCCTCCCTGCAGTGACTGGTGGCCGTGGTCCCCTGCCCTCCACTTGCCACCCGGAATGATTAACCAGCCCTTCCAGCACGGTCACCTCCAGGAGGGAACCCCCTGGCTGGGCAGCTCTGGGTGGAAAACTGGAGTATTTGGGAACTTCAGCTGCTGGAAGTAGGGGGGGCACTGCCATGCCTGGAGCCCCCCACATCCTGTCCCACACCTGTAGGACTTTTCCAGGTGAATCCCAACATGCCCCTGCCCCCTCCCAGCTGCCCCACGACTCGAGGTGTCCCTGGGGCCCTGCAGCTCACGTGGGGGTGATTCTGGGGGGTACCACGGGGCCTGGGCTGGACAATGACCCTGCCACCCCACAGCCATGGCCTCCAGCGCGGGCAGCCTCGAGAGCCTGGACCTGCTGGATCTCCTCTTCGACCTCCAGGACGGGATCCTGCGCGAGGTGGAGCTGGGCACGCCGCCGGGAGCCTGGCCCCAGGACAGGGTGAGCCGGGCCCGGACCCGCCCCACCTCGGCCCTGCTGGGTGACAGGGCTGGGTGACAGCCCTGGGATGTCACAGCCCGGGAAATGGGTGCTCCCGGTGACGGTGCCGTGTCCCCACAGCGTGCCCCGGACAGCAAGGACTTCCTGAGCTCTGTCCTGGGCTCCGGGGACTCAGTGTCAGACTCGCCCAGCTGGTCCCCGGCCACCAGTGACAGCGGGGTGTCCGAGGACCCCCCCTCTGACCAGCACGACAGCCCCCCCCGGAGCTGTGATGGGGGTCCCCGAGAGGTCCTGTACCCCTACACTGACGCCTGCCAGGCCCAGCCCCTCCCGGCGGGGTCTGGGGTCCTGCAGCCTGAGGTCTCCATCGACCTGGGTGAGCCACACTGGGAAAGGACCGGGCTGGGGCACTGGAGGGACTGGGGACACTGGGGAGCTGAGAGCAGGGGGGGAGGTGGGAGACTGTGAGGAAATTAAGGGAGCTGGGAGAAACTGGAAAGAACTGGGAGGTCTGGTGGGCTAGGGAGGAGATGGGGAGAGTGTGGAGAGCTTGGGAACTGGGGTGAACTGGGCAGGTGAACCAGTCGGTGTTGGGGGGGGGACTAGGGCAGGACCAGAGGGACGGTTTGGGGGGACAGAGCCAGGGGCATGGATTGGGCAGCAAGTCACCCTGGTTCTGGGGCCATGGCAGGAGGAGGGTCCTGCAGTGGGGACACTGGGGACAGTGGGGACACAGCACTGTTGACAGCTCTGCTCCGCCCTAACCCAGACGTGTGGCACCCCGGGTTCTTCCTGGAGGAGAGCCAGGACCTGCCTGTGGTCCCCCCACCTGCATCCTGTGCCCTGACCGTCAAGGACCTGCTGCTCTCGGGCAGCTCTGACAATGTGAGTCCCTGTCTCTGTGTCCCCAACACTCCCTGTCCCCAGCCCTGTCCCTTCCTGGACCCTGATCATCCCCCGTTCCCATTCCCATCCCTCCCCATCCCCACACTTTTTCCCTGCCCCTTCCTGGCCCAAGGTACCTTCACCGTGGTCCCAGCCATGGTCCTTGAGGCCAGGTGGGGGGTGACCCCCACCCAAAGGTGTCACCATTCCATGTTCCTGCAGCAGCCACAGGCTCCTGGCTCCCTGCTCCGGCCGGGCCAGGGCCATTTCCAGGAGCTGGTGCTGACGGAGGACGAGAAGAAGCTGCTGCTGAAGGAGGGGGTGACCCTGCCCACGCAGCTGCCCCTCACCAAGGTGGGTGCCAGGACACCTGGGAAGGTGTGGAGTGGGAGTCTCAGCCCTGGTGGCCCTGACCCCCCGTGTCTCCCCAGTACGAGGAGCGGGTGCTGAAGAAGATCCGGAGGAAGATCCGGAACAAGCAGTCGGCTCAGGAGAGCCGCAAGAAGAAGAAGGAATACATCGATGGGCTGGAGAGCAGGTACAGAGCCCAGCCCCTCACCTGGGCACGCTGACACGCCAAGCCCCAGGGTGGCACCCTGGGCACTCTGCTCCTTGCCAGCCCCCCAGCTGTCCCTGACCCATGCTGCTCTCCCTGTCCCAGGATGTCGGCGTGCACGGCCCAGAACCAGGAGCTGCAGAGGAAAGTCCTGCACCTGGAGAAGCAGAACTCGTAGGTGCTCCCGGCGCGGGATGGGGAAAAGGTGGGGTGGGAAATGTCGGCATGGAAGCTCATGGGCTCTCCCTGTTCCCAGGTCTCTCCTGGAGCAGCTGAAGAAGCTCCAGGCCATGGTGGTTCAGTCGAGCAACAAGGCAGCACAGACAGGGACCTGCCTGGCGGTGCGTGGGGCCTCCAAACCCTGGGAGCCACGGAGATGGGCTGGGAGGGAGGGACGGATGGATGGGGGATGGATGGATGATGGATGGATGGATGGATGGATGAATGGATGGATGGATGGATGGATGGATGGATGGATGGATGGATGGATGGATGGATGGATGGAGATGCACTGGTAGGACATGAAGCAGAAAGGAGGGATGGAGGAATAGATGCACTCCTGGGTCTGCCATGAGCTGTGACCCAGCTCCTGGTTCCTCTCCTCTGCTGTACTCAGTGATGTCCTCTCTGTCCCCAGGTCCTGCTGCTCTCCTTCACCCTCATTGTCTTCCCCTCCATCAGCCCCTTCGCCTCCAGCAAGGCCGAGGCAAATGGTGACTTCAGGCCAGTGCGAGGTGAGGGCTGAGCTGGGGCTGAGCTGGGGCTGAGCTGGGCTGTGCCAGGCTGTGCTGAGCTGAGCCAGGGCTGTGCTGAGCTGAGCCAGAGCTGTGACAGACCCTCAGGGCCCTGGCCCAGGCCCTGACCCTCCGTGGGGCTCAGTTTTCTCCAGGTCCCTGCACAACGCTGCCGCCTCCCGTGTGGTTCACACCCAGCTCCAGGCCGGGGATGAGAAGCCCCCGGAGCCGCTGTGGTCGGAGCCCCTGCAGGAGACCCCCGAGACCCTGCACGAGGCTTTCCAGAGCACATTCCCAGCACTCCCAGAGAAAGGGTCCCTCCAGAATGACACTCGGGCCTCGGCCGCCGAGGGGCTGAGCCACAAGGACGGGGACCAGGCCGATGCTGTGCCAGGGGGCGGCTCTGTGCCACACCCGGGGCTGGCATCCCTGGCGTGGTCCGAGCCGGGGCACGGCCGGCCCGCGGTGCTGGAGCCGGCGGAGGAGCTTTAGGCAGAGCAGGAGCACGGGGGTGCCATGGGGTGACAGCACCTCATCCCCTACGGGACACGCCCTCGGGGGGACCCCTCCGGGATCTGCCTCTGGATGCTGGACCTGCTTGGCTTTGCTTGGATTCTGTGAATTGGGAAGAGGAGACCGGTTCCCACTGGCCTTACTGGGAGGGAAGGGGCTGCTCCTGCCCCCCTGGCACGGTGGGAGTTGTGGAAGGGACCTGGGGTCACTGAGGATGGGGCTGAGGAAGCAGGAGGGGCCCTGGCCTGGCTGGCTGCTGATGGTGCATCTTGGCTATGGTTGGTTTTGCTTTTGGTTTTTTTTGGTTTTAGAATTTTATTTTCATCTCTAAATATAAGATATTTTGGAAAAAATCCACCTGCTGTAGTTTAAGAGGGGGTGATCTACAAGGTTTCAAGGAGCCCTGGGCCAGGGGGACCTCAAGCCCAGCTGCCATGAGGGGCCCAGGAGAAGAGGGACACACGGCCATGCCCAACCTGGAGCTGGGGCCAGGGCACCCTCCCACAGCTCCCAGCCGAGTCCAGCTGGGATGCAGCCAGCACCAGTCCCCTTCCATGACCAAGTGACGTGCAATTACAGAGTCATGGAATGGTTTGGGTTGGAAGGGACCTTAAAGCCCACCCAGCGCCACCCCTGCCATGGGCAGGGACACCTTGCTCTGTCCCAGGCTGCTCCAACCTGGCCTTGGACACTTCCAGGGATCCAGAGGCAGCCACAGCTGCTCTGGGAATTCCATTCCAGGGCCTCACCACCCTCACAGGGAAGAATTCCTCTATGCAAGGCCCTCCCTAGGCCCGTGGGTGCAGCTGCTCCGCGAGCCACAATTCAAGTATGTTTAATACTGACATAAAAAAAGGGACAATATTTAAGGGTATAAAAAAAAGTCGGTAGGAAAAGCAGCCCAGGTGAGACAGGGACAGTCCAGGTCAGGTGAGGAGAGGCTCCACCTTCATCTTCTTCACCGGCGTTGGCCCCGTGTCCGGGCTGGGACACTCCTGCTTGAGCCCATCACGGCGCTCCAGCGGCGCCTTCCCGGCACTCGGCGCTCCCGTGCCGTTGTGCTGGCCCAGGGACTCCTCCTTCAGCCGCCCCTGCAGCTGCTCGCCCTTGGCCAGCTCGGCGCTCTCCACCACCACCGGCCCCGTCCACTCGGGCACCTCCAGCCCCAGGTGCTTCATCAGCTTGGTCATCACCTCGTCCACGTAGCCGTGGATGCGCAGGTCGGCCTGGCGGTCCTGGACAGCAGGGACACGGCTCAGGGGACAAACGGCCCCTCCCAGGGACACGGCGATGTCCCCCGTGTGTCATTCCCAAAGGGACATCAGCTGGCCCTGGGGCTCTGCTGGGGCGTGGGCTGGACCACACCTGGGGATGGGGACACAGGGACAGAGCAGGGACAGAGTGTGACAGGCACAAGGGAGCTCTGCTGACATCCCAGGAACCCCCAGCTCTGGGCATTAAAGACTTTGGACAATTGGGGCACCAACATCTGAGCAGGAACCGAGCAGGAACCGAGCAGGAAGCGAGCGTGCCCTCCACGGGCTCCATGTGTGTGGCCCTTCCATCAGGCTGTAAACCCTGAGAGAACACAGCAGGCCCCAGGCTGAGCTTTCCCTCTGCTCCTAAGACTAGCTTGGACAGGGCTTGGAGCAGCCTGGGATAGTGGGAGGTGTCCCTGCCCATGGGAGAGGGAACAAGATGAGCTTTAAGGTTCCTTCCAACCCAGCCCTTTCCATGACTCTAATATTTACCTGCCATCTCTACGTGTTTAGCAGGAGTTGCAGGTTTAAACCCTCCAACCCAGGACTCCCAGCCTGTTTGACTGCTAAGAGAGGCCACCTGGGAGGGGACAACGTGCAGGGACAAACTTGGGATGGGCCTGGAACAGGGGCCAGCAGGGGAAAGGAACAGTGCAGAACTGCGGGACGCTCACTCACGTGTTTGGTTGCTTGGAGGTTGACAATGACCAGCTTCCCTCCTCTCTTCTTGGTGATCAGTGGGAGGTTCCCGCTGGGTTTGATCTGCAGAGAGGTCCCCAGGGTGATGGAGAGATCAGCTTTCCTGCAGGGAGGAGGAGAAATCCAGAATCGGGGCATGGATGGGTGGGAAGGGGCTGTTCCCCTCCTGAGCAGGTGTCAGTACCTGCAGGCTTCATCTGCCAGCGTCAGGTCACGGTCGGGCAGGGAATCTTCCCAATCCAGAATAGTGTCTCGTAACTTCCCTCTGGAAAACACACACAGGGACCATGGTGTTCCCTGGAAAAGGCAGGAGAACAGGCAGCAGAGCTGCCCTGGCAGAGGGGACAACGACCAGAGCCTGTCCCACCCTCCCTGTCCCCACACTGTGAAGGGGTGGAGAGCACCCAGAGAGATCTTCCTGCACCTTGGGCTGCCTCTCCCACATCTGAGGGGCTGTGGGCTCATCCCCCCATCCCACATCCCCGGAGGGATCCCCACCTGCAGGCCCGCAGCCCCCGGGCCTTGGTGACGCTGCAGAGGCGGCCGGTGGGCTTGAGCCCCATGCTGCCCACGACGGCGTCGCGCACGTACTGCCTGCGGAGACACGGAGCGGCTCAGCGAGGGGCTGGAGTGCCCAGCACAGCCTGGCATGGCAATCCCAGCCCAGCTTCCCCCTGGCATGGCAATCCCAGCCCAGCTTCCCCCTGGGATGGAGATCCCAGCCAAGCCCCCCCAGGGCTCACGTACTTCCCACATTTCACGCACTCTTCCACAAACATGTTCCCGTGGAGCTCGGCCAACTTGTCCCTGTGGGAGAAAGGCACAGGTGAGCTGGGGAAGGGTGGGGAGTCCTGGGGGAACCCCCCCTCCTCCCCAGGAACCTCAAGGGCTTCCCTGCATTCCAGCTCTGCCAGGTGATGGGCTCATCCCCCAACAGGGACTCAGGAAGGGACAGCAGGTCCTGGCCTTTTAATTTGAATGTTTCCATCTGCAGCACTGATTGCAGCTCCTGATCCACTCAAATCTTTGCTCCTGGGAGCACCCAGATCTTTGTTTTTCCAGCACCCAGCATTCCTGTCTGTCCCTGTGCTCTTCCAGCCCTCTGACACCTGTTTTTCCTAAAATTCCCCTCAGGCTCAGAGCAGAAGCCAGAGGAAAGCACGGCCATGCTCTCCCTATTTTCCTCAGAGCCCCACGCTCGCTGGGAACTTCCTCCAGGCTGCGTGAGACAGGACTGACTTGATTTCCCCCAGTTTGGCCCCAGTTCAGCTTACTCAAGCACAGGTTTCATTTGGGAGGCAGAGCTGGGCTGAACTGAACAGGAGCCAGTGGCTCCAGGCTGTGGGAGCACCATGGAATTCTGTCATCATTCCCTACTGCTTTTCCCATGGTTGTTTGGATCAAACAGACAAACAAGGGGCTGGGAGCAGGACCCAGGACTTGGGGCTTGTAATGCCGGAAATGCCCTGGAGGCAGCTCTGGCTGAAGGTGTTTGTGAGAGGCACCTTCTCCAAGGACACATGGATGCTCCTCAGTCACATCCTGACTCATAAAATCACAGAATGAGTTGGGTTGGAAAGGACTTTAAAAGATCAACCCCCTGCCATGGGCAGGGACCCCTCCCACAGTCCCAGGCTGCTCCAAACCCCATCCAGCCTGGCCCTGACTGTTCCCAGGGATCACAGAATATCCTGAGCTGGAAGGGATCCACAAGGATCACTGAGTTCAACCCCTGGCCCTGCACAGACACCTGCACAGGGGAATGAGATGGGCTTTAAGGTGCCCCCCAACCCAAACCATTCTGGGATTCCATGATTTCATAATCTCTGTTTTTTCTATGCACAAACAGCACCTAGAAGCATTTCTAGACAGCAACATCCAAGGCTGATTTGATTCCAAGACCCTCTGGAACAGCACCAGAACCTCTCCCCTCTAAATTCCAGCTGGTTTATCCCTTTCCAGCTTCCACTCCCTGTATCAGAGAGGGCAGAGATTCCTTGGGAATGAAACCCCCTGTGTGGGGCTGGGAAGGTACCGTGGAAATCCTGACCGCACGTGCAGGCCGTCCACGTTCTGGCTGACCAGGAATTTCAGGATTCCCACTCTCTGCAGCCCCAGCAGCGCCATGTGAGTCTTGGAGGGCCTGGCATTCTCGAAGGTGGTGTCGAATTTTGGGGAGAGCCCTTTCTCTTCCATAGTCCAGACACCATTGGGGCCCCTGGAAAGTGCAGGAGGGGAGAGCTCAGGCTCCAGGTGCCCCATCCATGGGAGCAGAGCTCATGGATCAGCAGGATTCTGGGGGTTGATGCAAACAATGCGGGGATTCTGTGGCAACAGCTGAGATGTGCAAGAGGGAAAATGGTGTTTGCAGCTGGATCCAGGATGGACAGCAGAGATGAGGCAGGTCTGGGATAAATCAGAGCTTTCCATGAAGGAAGATGGAGCTGGAGGAGGTGCCACCCTGCCAGCCCTCGGACTTACCTGAAGTCAGGGATGCCCGAGGCCGTGCTGATCCCTGCCCCCGTGTGGAACACCACATGGGAGGAGCTCCGGATCAGCTCTGCCAGCTCCTGCACCTTCCGCTCCAGCTCCTCCGGAGGGTCAAAAATCTGGGAAAAGACAAAAACCAGCATGGGATGGAGAGATGTAGGCATGGATTATATGGGGAAGGAATCCTTCCCTGTGAGGGTGGGGAAGTGCTGGAATGGATTTCCCAGAGCAGCTGTGGGTGCCCCTGGATCCCTGGAATGTCCAAGGCCAGGCTGGACAGGGCTTGGAGCAACCTGGAATAGTGGAAGGTGTCCCTGCCATGGGCAGGGGTGGCACTGGATGATCCTTCAGGTCTCTTTAACCCAAATCATTCCGGGATTCCATGATTCTAGAAGCCCAGTAACCCACAATTCTTCCTTATCCATGAATGATTTTGCATTCCTTAAGGACAGAAACATTTACTAGGAGAGACTCCTGATTGTCTGGAGCATCTGGCTGCAGGGACAGGGACACCCAGCACCAACAGGGAGTTTGTTGCTCTGACTGGCAGCTGGCCCAGGCTGGGCTCCAGGAGCGACCCGGGGCCACCCCACATGTGCTCAGCCCCAGCTGTCACCAGCAGTGCCACCAGCTCTGGGGACAGGGCAGGACCGAGGGACAGCGAGGGACACCAGATGCTGGTTTGGGCACGGGATTTAATCCCTGAGACACTTCTCCAGCCCCATCTCCTGGGGACGGGGACGAGGACAGGACCCTGTGTGTCCCTGTCCCCTCACCATCCCCTGGGCTCAGGACGGGCTGCAGAGTGTCCCTGTGGCTCCCCTCAATCCTCGTTTTAGGCTTCCCAGAACTGCTGGGGCTCAGGGGGGACACGGAGGGAGCCACGGGGGGCTGTGGGGGCAGAAGGAAGGACCAGGGTGGGGTCAGGGAGACCATGGAAGGGGACATGGAGAGAGGACATGGAGAGGGGACATGGAAGGGGACGTAGAGAGGAGACATGGAAGGGGACATGGAAGGGGGCATAGAGAGGGGACATGGAAGGGGACATGGAGAGGCGACATGGAGAGAGGCCGAGGAGGGAGCCGGGGGCGGCCTGGGGGGGACATGAGGGGGACGAGGGAGCCGTGGGGTGTCTGGGGACAGGCACCCAGGGAAGGGGGACGGGGAGGGAGCCGCGGGATGTGCTGGGGACACACGAAGGGCTCGGTGCCCGCTCGGTTCCCGAGGCCGCGGTTGCCATGGGAACGCGGCGGGGCCCGCGGGAGGCCCGGCGGGCGGGCGGAGGCTGCCCCGGGCGGGCGGGGATGGCCCCGGCGGTGCCGCGCTCACCTCGGGGAGGCCGCACTTGCCCTTGTCCGAGTACGGGGACAGCCCGGCCGCGTAGTTCACCGCCATCGGCGCGGCCGCCGCGCGGCGGAAGAACCGGGCGGGGCCGGGCCGCGGGACCGCCCCGGGCCGCCGCCGCCATCTTGGAACCGGGCAAGGCGGGGCTGCCCTCAGCGCGGCCGGGACCGCCCGGGACTGACAGGGACTGACAGGGACTGACAGGGACTGAACCGGGACTGACCTGGGAGTGAACAGGGACCGCCCGGGACTGAACCGGGACTGACCGGGGCTGACCGGGACTGACCAGGGCTGACCGGGACTGACCCGGGACTGACCGGGACTGACCGGGACTGACCAGGGCTGACCGGGAATGAACCGGGACTGTCCGGGAATTAACCGGGACTGACCGGGACTGACCGGGACTGACCGGGGCTGACCGGGACTGACCGGGACCGACCGGGGCTGACCGGGGCTGACCCGGGACTGCCCGGGGCTGAACCGGGACTGAACCGGGACTGACCGGGGCTGACCGGGACTGACCGGGAGTGAACCGGGACCGCCCGGGACTGCCCGGGACTGGCCCGGGACCGACCGGGAGTGAACCGGGGATGCCAGGGAAGGACAGGGGTGCCAGGGAGGAGCAGGGGATGCCAGAAGGACAGGGAGGAACAGGGGATGCCAGGGAAGGACAGGGGTGCCAGGGAAGGACAGGGGTGCCAGGGAAGGACAGGGGTGCCAGGGAGGAACAGGGGATGCCAGCAAGGACAGGGAGGAGCAGGGGATGCTGACAGGAGCACGAGGTGCTGGCAGAACCAGGGGCTGTCAGGGCAGGGAAGGGCATGTCAGGTCAGGACAAGAGGTGCCACCAAGGGCGGGCGGTGTTTGGGATGGGCAAAGGGTGCCATCCATCAGAGCCCAGCCCTCCCCAGCACCCCAGGCCGTGTCCCTTGTCCCCAAACACGGCCCGGCCCGGCCCCCCTCCGGCTGCCCGGGGCTGTAACCGCAGCCGCGGCCGTAACACAATCCCCGGCTCCGGTTCCCGGCTGGGAACGCCAGGACGGGCTGGGAGCAGCGGGACCGGGGGCGCTGAGCTGTCCCCAGGCAGGGACAGACCCTCCTGGAGCGTGGCCATCCCTCCCGAGAGCTGCCACAGGGCTGAGGCTGAGCCACCATGAAGAGCCTGAAGGCCAAGTTCAAGAAGGCAGATGTGAGTGCCATCCCTGGGGACATGGGGACACAGGGACCTGCTCCAGGGTGTCTGTGGGGACACGGGGACCTGCCCTGGGACACGGAGTGGTCGCTCCCAACGGGGACAGCAGCCCCACGGAGGTTGGCACTGCCACTCTGGCTGGTGGGATGGAGCCCCCAGTGCACCCCCAGTGCACCCCCAGTGCTCCCAGAGCCATCGCTGGCAGTGGGGCAGAGCAAAGGAGAGGGAAGCAGATCCCAGGTCCCCTCCCTGTCCCCCTCCTGGGGACAAGTGCCGCTTTGCCAGCTGCCACAGCCCCTGGAACCAGCCTGTCGATGCTCCTCAATTATTCAGCAGCAGCCTGGCACGGGGCCGCAGAGGGCAGAGGGGGACAGCGCTGTCCCCAGTGCACTGGGAGGGACACAGGAGGGGACACAGGTGGGGACACAGTTTGAAGCCCCTCACCCGGAGTCTGGAGGACCATCGTGCTCAGGGTGCTCCATGCCTCAGTTTCCCCACACTGCCCTGGACACGTCCCTGAGAGGCTCCCGATGTCCTGCTGCCACCGGGACTGCCCGGACAGCGTCTGGGGACCCTCTGCGTTTCGGGGTTCCTCCCTGAGGGTGTTTGGGGGGGGGTGTCAGGTGCAGGTGGGGGGGCTGTACCCCTCCCTTGTCCCCAGGGCAGGGCGGGGGTCCCAGGTCCCCCCCTTGGGGGCCGGGAGGATGCTCAGCCCTGTTTTGGGGACAGCTGCCCACCCCCTACCCCACAACCTCTCCCGTTTAAACTGGGACCAGTCTGGGTGCCGGTCCCTGCCTGGGAGCCGCTCCGAGGCGGGATGCAGGGATGCAGGGATGCAGGGATGCAGGAATGCAGGGATGCAGGAATGCAGGGATGCAGGGATGCAGGGATGCAGGGATGCAGGGATGCAGGGATGCAGGGATGTAGGGATGCAGGAATGCAGGGATGCAGGGATGCAGGGATGCAGGGATGTAGGGATGTGCAGGGATGCAGGGATGCAGGGATGTAGGGATGCAGGGATGCAGGGATGCAGGGATGTAGGGATGCAGGGATGCAGGGATGCAGGGATGTGCAGGGATGCAGGGATGCAGGGATGCAGGGATGTAGGGATGCAGGAATCCAGGGATGCAGGGATGCGCTGAGGAGGGAGGGAGGGAAGGACGGAGGGAGGGCCGGGGGCGGAGGAGGCGGGCCCGGCTCCCACTGCCGCAGCCCCGGCCCCCGCCCGGGCGGGATGCCGGAGCGCTCCGGGCTCGGGGGTGCCCGTGCCGGCCGGGGCGGGGGGCGGGGGGCGCATGGCGTCCTCCCGCCGCCTCCTGCTCAGCACCATGAAGCAGATCTGCCTTTGTGCCGCCGCCTCCTTCGCGGTACGTCCCGCTCCCCTCCCGGCTCCCCTCCGCTCGCGTCCTGCGGGCTGAGCCGTGTCCCCCCCGCCCCACTGCACCCCACATCCCCATCCCCATCCCGGGGCTCCCCGTGTCCTCCCCATCCTGCTTTGTCCTTGCCTGACCAGGGAGTGGGGGGAGCGGGCACCACCCTCCCAGTTTGCCCAGGAGCCCTGGGACACTGGTTTGTGCCCTGTCCCTGGTCCCGCTGGGCTGGAGGGGCTCGGGGGCACCCGGCGGGCACAGGCGGGTTTGGGACAGATGCCAGCGGCTCCCGAAAGGTGACATCCATTTCCTGCCGCCACGAGCGCAGCCAGCGCCGCTTTGTGGGGTGAACCCGGGACTTGCAGTCCCTGTCCTGGTCCTGTCCCACTGCGGGTCCTCCTTCGGGCCGGGGAGCGCCGGGAGAGCAAATCCCAGCCAGCTGCGGTCCTGTTTTGGGGGCACAGCGCTGTGCCCCGTTATCCCGGGAGGCTGGAGCATCCCTGGGGATCTGCTCTCCCTGCCAGCTGTGCTCGCCCTGGTTTGGTCCCTTCCTCCTCCGGGCTGGGAATGGGACTCCCAGGGGTTCTGGCTGGGTTTAGTACTGGGATTTCAGGGTGGCAGGGGCAAACCCCAGAGCAGTTGGGCTCAGTCCCAAATCCCAGCCTGGCACAGCTAAACTGGGCTGTGTCTGTAAATCCCCCGCTCTGTGAGCTGCAAACTGGGGGACTGGAGGGGATTTTCATCCCAGTCCCTGCTGAACTCTCCGTACCTGGGGGTGAGCTCGCAGGAGAGGGGCACGGACACGGCCACCCCCAGGGACAGGGCTGGAAGGACAAGGACAGCCAGCCCAGCCCGGCCCTGGGGACAGCACTGTCACAGCTGACCCTGTCACAGCCGCCTCTGGGCCCTGTTGCAGAGCCAGGACTGGACCAAGAACGACGAGAAGCTGCTGCAGGCCGTGGACTACAACGATGCCGGGCGGGTCACGTCGCTCCTGCTCCGCAAGGGCCTGGTGCCCACCAAGCTGGACTCGGAGGGCAAATCCGCGTGAGTGCCAGGCCCTGCCCTGGGGACACGCTGGGGACAGGGGACATCCTCGGAGTCCCTCAGCCCCTGGTCTCGCTGCAGGTTCCACCTGGCCGCCACGCGGGGCAATGTGGACTGCCTGGAAGCAATGCTGGCCCACGGCGTGGATGCCATGACCAAGGACAGCTCGGGTGAGGGCACGGCCACCACGTGCCCCTGCCTAATGCCACGGGCCACACAGGGCCACTGGTCATCCCCAGGTGTTGAGGATGAGGGGACAGAGGTGGTGGCCATACCTCGGGGGCTGTAAATTGTCCCAGTTTCCTAAAGGAGCTCCAGCATTTCTTCATGAGCTCCTGGGGTTGTTCCCTTCCTGTTCAGCCCTGTTCCAGCAGATCTGCTTTGTGCCTGTCTCTGTGTCCCCAAGCTGTCCCCTCTGGCACAGCGCTGCTGGCCATGCTCTGACCTGTTTGTCCCTTCCCAGGTTACACTGCCCTGCACTTGGCCTCCAAGCACGGCCACCCTCAGTGTGTCAGCAAACTGCTGCAGGTACAGGGAGGAGGAGGAGGGACAGAGGGAGGGAGGGAGGTGCTGTGCCAGCGCGGTGTCCTTGAACCTCCTTCCCTCACCAGTGCCAAGGCATGGTGGTTCCCAGCTCCGTGCTGCTGCCTGGCACCAGGGAGCCACAGGGGGCTGTCCCTTGTCCTTCACCACACCACAGAGTCTCTCAGTCCCTCACTGTGCCACAGAGCCACTCGAGCAGTGTGTCCCTCTGTCCCCCTCCTCCCGTGACCCAGGCTGTCCCCCCAGGCCTCCTGCCCCGTGGACGTGGCCGATGGCAGTGGCCGGACCGCGCTGCACCTGGCGGGTGAGTGGGGACAGTGCCAGCCCTGTCCTGCTCACGTCCCCGTGGGGGCAGCGCTCAGCCTCTGTCCTTGTCCGCAGCTGCCAGCGGCTGCATCTCCTGCTCCGAGATCCTCTGTGACTTCAAGGCTCCCTTGAACAGCAAGGACAAGGTGGGCTCCCACTGCTCCTGGTCCTGCTGTGCCAGGCTGGGGCTGTCCCAAAACACCGCACCGCTTGGGGTGGGACGTGGAAACTGGGGTGGGACGTGGAAACTGGGGTGGGACGTGGAAACTGGGGTGGGATGTGGAAACTGGGGTGGGATGTGGAAACTGGGGTGGGACGTGGAAACTGGGGTGATATCGGGAGGATCTGAGCCTCCTCTGCTCATCCTCCCCCCTGCGTGCCCAGGACGGCTCCACGCCGCTGATCCTGGCTGCCAAGATGAGCCACCCGGAGCTGTGCCGGTACCTGCTGCACCGCGGGGCCGCCGTCAACTGCCGGGACCTGCAGGGCAGGTGGGGCTGCAGCACCGGGGGCGGCAGCGGCCGCAGGGATTGTCCCCTCCTCACCCGCGCTCTCCCCGTGCCCAGGACAGCGCTGATGCTGGCCTGCGAGAGCGGCAGCGTGGACACCGTGGAGGTGCTGGTCAGCGCCGGTGCCCGCGTGGCCGTGGTGGACGCCACCGGCCACGACGCCGCTCACTACGGGCTGGCCACGGGCAACGTCCTCATCCAGCACCTCCTGCAAGAGGCGGCCCAGCGCCGCTCCTGGGCCAGCGGTGAGGCTGCCGGGGCACCCCGGGCTCCCTGCCACCATCGGGCAGGGCTGGCAGAGGCTGCGGGGATGTGTCCCCTGTTCCTGGTGTTTGGGGCTGCCTTTGCCTGTGCTGTCCCCGGCCTCTGCTCTGAGCTCTGAGCCTCTAAATCTCCCCAATTTCTCTTCCCTCCCGCTCTGCCCCACAGAAGAGGAGTCAGCTGAGCAGACGTCGCAGGTGAGGGGCTGGTCCCCATCCCTGGAGGGTCCCCTGGCTCAGGAAGGAGGGAGGGCACTGGGGGTGTGACGTCCCCTCTGCCCTGGGGTGTCCGCAGACGTCTTCGCCCAGCCAGTCATCTGTCAGGGAGAAGAGCAGCACCCCGAGGAAGAGGAAGGCCCCTCTGCCTCCCCTGGGCACCCCCAGCCAGGTGAGAAAAGGGTCCCCAGGTCCCCACCTGGCCTGGCAGGTGCCAAGCAGCCCAAAACACTCCTCAGTGAGGGATCCCCTCATTGGGTGTTGGTGCCACAAAAGCCCCCTCAGGCACACAGTGGGATTTTTGGGGTTCCCTGTGCCAGGAGTTGGACTCAATGCTTTCCATGATTCCCTGCAGGAGGACCGGGATGCCTACGAGGAGATCGTGCGGCTGCGGCAGGAGAGGGCCCAGTTCCTGCAGAAGATCCGGGGCTTGGAGCAGCAGGAGAAGCAGAGACGGGAGGTACCGGCTGCAGGGTCCTGGGGACATGCCACCGTGTCCCTGGGGAGCAGAGGGGACAGGGGAGATGGGGACAGCACTCACCCCTCCCTCTTTTCTCCCTGGGTCCTGCCAGCGGGCGGAGCTGGATGAGGCTTCCCTGCGCTCCATGGAGAAGCAGGTGAGGCCAGGGCAGAGCCTGGAGGTGACCTCAGCTCTCCGTGGGGTCCTGGTGCTGGGAATGCCACCAGGGCTCTGCCAGGAGCCAAGGGGACCCTATTCCCATGTCCTGCCCTGCAGATCCGGGAGCTGGAGGAGCGGCTGGTGGCACGGGACGGGGAGAAGGAGAAGCTGGGCAAGGAAGTGGAGGCTCTGCGGAGCCGCCTATCCTCCATGGAGGTGGGTGTGGGCAGGACACAGCTGGCAGTGCCCAGGGCTGGGGACAGGGGTGTCACCTCCACCCTGCACCCCCAGAATGAGAAGGAGAACACGAGCTATGACATCGAGACGCTGCAGGACGAGGAGGGAGAGCCGCTTGATTTCCCAGGTAGGTCTTGCAGCCTCCCAATGACACCTCGGGGAGGTGACACTGGGCAGTGGGGGCACAGGTGGGCACAGCCCCCGGTCCCTGTGCCCTGCAGGAGCAGAGATGCTGCTCTCCAAGAAGACACTGAGCCCCTCGGCCGAGGAGCTGCTGGCCACTCTCCAGGGGCAGGTGCAGTCCCTGACCGTGCAGAACAAGGAGCTGAGAGAGAAAATCCAGGCACGTCCCCCTCTGTCCGTCCGTCTGTCCCTCCGTTCCCTGTCCCCTGGCCCGTGGTGGCCTCACGGTCTCTCGGCAGGTGCTGGAGAACTACGAGCGGGACGAGAGCAGCCCCCCTGCCCCGGGGGACGTGGTGCCCGCCAGCCGGTACCAGGCCCTGCAGCGGGAGCTGGAGCGGCTGCGGGCGCAGGGCAGGGAGGCCACGGCTCGGGCCGGAGGGGACGGGCAGCGCGCGGCCTCGGAGCCCATCCCGGAGGGAACCGCGGGGCCGCGTCCCGCCGAGGAGCCGGCCTGGGCCTGGGGCGAGTGCAAGGCAGCGCTGGGCGAGCTGGGGGTGCAGACATCCTCCTCCGCCTCACCCTCGGGGGAGCGGGAGCCGGGCGCGGAGCTGGCGGAGGCACGGGCGGCCCTGAAGCGGGCACAGGCCGAGCTGGAGGAGCGGGAACGGCGGCTGAAGGAGCTGCAGGCCCAGCTGGAGGCTGCAGAGGCCGCGGCCTCACCAGGCGCCTCTGCGGAGGAGGCGTCGCGGGAGAAGGAAGCACTGCTGGAGCGCTGCGGGCGCGCCGAGGCCGAGGCCGAGGCGCTGCGGCGGGAGCTGGAGGCTCCAAGAGCTCCGGAGGCGGCGCGGCAGCGGGCGGAGGCCGAGGCGCAGCGGGCAGAGCTGGCAGAGCTGCGGGCAGAGCTGGCAGAGCTGCGGGCCGCGCTGGCGCGCAGGGAGGCCGAGCTGGGCGCGCTGCGGGAGCGGCTGCGGGAGCACGAGGAGGAGGCCCCGGCGTGGCCGCAGCGGGCGCGGGCCGAGGGCTGGGTGCCCCGGGAGGAGCACGCCCGCGGCACGGCGGCGCTGCAGGAGCAGGCGCGGGCGCTGCGGGAGCGCCTGGCGCAGCTGGAGGCCGCGGCTGACGCCAAGGCCCGCGAGGCCGCCCGGCTGCAGGCGGAGCTGGCGGCGGCCGTGCCGCGGGCGCAGCACGAGGCGGCCGAGGCCGGGCTGCGGGCCGAGGCGGCGGCGCTGGCGCGGCGGCTGCAGGAGCTGGAGCGGCGGCACGAGAAGACGTGTGAGGAGGTGTTCCGCGTGCAGCGGCAGGCGCTGTTCATGAAGAGCGAGCGGCAGGCGGCCGAGGACAGGCTGGGCGCCGCGCAGAAGCAGCTGGAGCAGGCCCAGGACGAGGCGCGGCGGCTGCGGGAGCTCCACGGCCACGCCGAGGATGCGGCACGGCTGGTCAGGGACAGGGACAGGAAGGTAGGGGACAGGGAGGCAGGAGGGGCTGCTCGGAGGGGAATGGTGGCCTTGGAGCCGCACACGTGGAGTCACTGATTTTGGGATGGGAGGGACCTTAGATGTCTTCCCATTCCACCCCCTGCCATGGGCAAGGACACCGGCCGCCATCCCAGGGTGCTCCAAGCCCCGTCCAGCCTGGCCTCGGGCACTGCCAGGGACGGGGCAGCCACAGCTGCTCTGGGTAACCCGTAACCCCTGTGCCCTGTGCAGATCACGGAGCTCTCCAAGGAGGTTTTCAGGCTGAAGGAAGCTCTGAATGCTCTCCCCGAGTCGGGGGGGCCCCCACAATCGCCGCCCAACACGGCCGCGCTCCAGGCGCGGATCCGGGCGCTGGAGGAGAAGCTGGAGGTGGGTCACCTGGTGGGTTCGGGGCTCCCCCGAGCCCCCAGCCCTGTGGCCAAACCCCCTCCCTGTGCTGCAGGAGACAGAGACGAGGCACAGCAAGGTGGTGACGCTGTACCGGAGCCACCTGCTCTATGCCGTGCAGGTCAGCTGGGGACAGCTGGGGACACCGGGGTGGGGGCTGAGCCAGGTGCCAGCCCAGGGACACGCACAGAGCCTCCCTGATGTCCCCACTCCTGTGTGCCCACCAATGTCCCCTCCACCCCAGGGCCACATGGACGAGGACGTGCAGAGACTCCTGTGCCAGATCCTGAGGATGCAGCGGCTGCAGGAGCAGGGCAGATGAGCCCCTGCCAGCACGGGTGGCACAGGGATGGGGGGACAGGTCTGTCACAGCACCCTCTGTGTCACTTTGCTTGTCACAGCACCCAGCCCACCCCCAGCACAGCAGCAATAAAGTTATTTATAGTCACACTAATGGGATGGCTCCTCTCTGGGGTGGGCACAGGGGGCTGTGGGGACCTGGGGGGACAGCAGGGGATCGGTGCCACCATCTCCAGCCCTGCCGTCCCTTGAGGGGAGAGGTGACCGTGAAGGAAAGGGAGTGGTGGCAGGGGAGAGGTGGGTACCCCGTTGGCCAGGGCTGGAATCCCTTTCCCAAGGGCGCGGGAAGCGGCTCCATCCCCACGGGAACCAACGGCACTTCCTGCGAGGAAATGGGCTGGGGAGCGCCGGGATCCGGCGGGGACACTGCGGTCCCAGCTGGCCCTGCTGCGGTGAGCGTTTGGGGACACTGGGATCCCCACGGGCAGTGCACGGGGTGTTGGAGGTCTGGGTAGCCCCAAATCCAGGGAAAGCGGAGCGTGTCCCCTCGGGGGCTGAGCTTCGGCGGGAGGTGACAAGGGCAGGAGCTGTCCCTGTGGTGCTGGCCTTGGGGACAGCTTTGGGAGCTCAGCTCAGCCCCCAGGCCAGGCTTCGGGGGTCTCTGTGAGGGACAGTCCTGCCCTGGATGGATACAAACCCCTGATTCCAGGTGTGGGACTGCAGGGGTGGCTGCAGGTCCCCCTGGGAAACTGTAGGAACAGTGGGAATTTTCACCCCCTCTCTTTCCTGGCTGTAGGGTCGGACCCTTTGGAACCCATCCCTCTGCGGGGTGTGTGGCAGGGCCGGGGGGAAACTGAGGCACAGCAGTGTGGGGTGGCTCCAGGGTGATGTCCCCAGCCCCCTGGGGACATGTGGTGTCTGTGCTGTCCCCGGTGCTGGGGTTTGACTGTGCTGCCTGTCCCCACAGGTGCCTGGACAGCCCCACGGAGTCTCCTGGCATGAGGTGGCTTTGGGTCGTGGCTTTGGTGGCACCCGCCTGCACTGTCCCCCAGAACGGCACGGCAGGGAGCACTGGGCATGGGGACAACGGGGACAGAGGTATGGGGGACTGGGGGGACTGGGATGGAAGCTGGGGGTGTCTGGGGATCCTGGATACAGCAGGACTGGGCAGACTGGGAGTACTGAGGCTGGCAGGGATGGAAGGGACTGGGGACAGTGAGGGGACAGGGGACAATGACAGGGTCTCTAGGGAGGGACTGGGGACATTGGGGTACAGAGATGGGCACACAGGGATAATGATGCCTGCGGGTCTGGGGGCATGGGGTGACCAGGGGCACAGGTGGGGGTCTGGGGACACTGGGAGTGGCACTGGAGACCCAGGAGGCCGAGACCCTTCCTGATGCAGTGTCACTGCCCCTCCATGTCCCCATGTGTCCCCAGGCCCCTGCACCCCTCAGCATGGCTCCCTGGGCACCGAGGTGCTGCTGCCGTGCCCGGGGGGCGCGGCCGAGTGGCGCCGGGGGGGCACCGTCCTGGGCACGTTCCCGGCCCCGGGGCTGGCCCTGCCCAACGCCAGCCTGGCCCACGAGGGCCACTACAGCTGCCACCACCCTGCCACCGGCGAGACCTGGGCCACCCTCTGCCTGCGGCTGGGCTGTGAGTGTCCCCAGCCCTGCTGTCACCCCCCTGGCTGGGGGTCCCTGAGGCTGCTGGCAGTGGGGTGACCCCTGTCCCCTGTCCCCTGTCCCAGACCCGCCCCCGCCACCGGCCATCGAGTGCTGGGCCACCAGCTACCCCCAGGCCGTGAACTGCTCCTGGGGGCTGAGCCCCGAGCCCCGGCTGGACACCGACTTCGTGGCCACCTACAGGTGAGTGGGGGTCCCCAAAGCCTCTCCCCGTGTCCCCCAGCCCTTGGCAGCTGTCCCTGTGTCCCCAGGCATGGCACAGACACAGGGGAGTGCAGCCTCACGGGCCCGCGGAGCTGCTCCTTCGGGGAGCTGCAGGTGTTTTCCCTCACTCCCTACGAGCTGAACGTGACAGCGCGGAACCCCCTGGGAGCTGCCCACGGAGCGCTGGCCTTCCTCCTGGAGAACATCAGTGAGTGCTGCGGCATGGGGGACACCAGGGTCACCTGCGGGACCCTCGTGTCTCACCCTCTGGGGCTCTGCCCTGCTCGGGATGTGGGATCATCACTGCAGCGACTTGCTGGGGCTCAGGCTGTCCCCGCACAGCTCACAGGGGACACGAGGGCTCTGTCCCCAACAATCCCATGCTGGATCCCGCAGCCACGATGTCCCTCCTTGGTCAGAAAATGAAGGAAAGTGACTTTTTCCAGGCAGTGATGGGACAAGAGGGTTGGTTTTAATCTAAAGGAGGATTTAGATGGGATATTGGAAAAAATTCTTCCCTGTGAGCGTGGCGAAGCCCTGGAATGGAATTCCCAGAGAAACTGTGCCTGCCCCTGGATCCCTGGAAGCATCCGAGGCCAGGCTGGACAGGACTTGGAGCAGCCTGGGAGGGTGGAAGGTGGGATGAGATGATCCTCAGGGTCCCTTCCCACCCAAAGCATCCTGGAATTCTCTCGTTACTTGTCTCCCCAGTAAAGCCGGACCCCCCCGAGGCCCTGCGGGTCTCCCCCATCCCTGGGGAGCCGCAGAAGCTGCTGCTGGAGTGGAGCCCTCCATCATCCTGGCCATTCCCGGATTATTTCCCGCTCCAGTACCGCATCCGCTACTCCCGGGACAACGACTCCGTCCCCACCACGGTACTGCCACCCGCCCGGGTAAACTGAGGCACGGCTGCGGCTGTGCCCGGCGTGTCCCTGTCCCTGATCCCGCTGTCCCCAGGTGGGGCCGTACGAGCTGACGTCCCACACGCTGACGGACCTGGAGCCCGGCAGCCTCCACCACATCCAGGTGGCCGCAAAGGACATGTCGGACTGCGGGGAACTCAGCGCCTGGAGCGCGCCGGCCTCGGGGACGCCCTGGGTGGGGCTGTGACAGCCAGGCAGGGCCGCTGTCCCCATGCCAGGCCTGCTGCTGTCCCTTGTCCCACGCCAGCAGCGCGGAGCCACCAGGGCTGCAGGAATGGGCAATAAAAGGCCTTGAGGCGTCGTCCCTGTTCTAACTGGGGTGTTTGTGACGGCTGAGCTGCCCCTGCGGTGAGTCTGTTCACTGCCCTCAGAGCCGGTCCCTTTGCTGTTCCACAACAATCCCTTTGTTTTCCTGCTTTTGACCCTTTTTTGCCCTTGGGGTCTGTTCCTTTTCTGCCCCTTCGCCCTCCGCCCCACCCGGTCCCTCAGCGCCCACAGCGGGCTGCAGGGGTGGGCGGCCATGTCGGACGTGCGCTGGGGCGGGGGGAGCGGCGTGACTAACGAGGGGCGCCTGTTCCCTGCGCGGCGTTCCCCCTCAGACCGGAGCCCCGGGGCTCACAGGCCTCACAGCGGAGCCCCGGAGGGTTCCACACCCCACACCGGAGCCCCGGAGGGTTCCACACCTCACACCGGAGCCCCGCGGCCATTACAGACCCCGCCGGGGGGGTGTGCAGTGCGCATGCGCAGCGAGGCTCGCGGGCGGTGGCGCCCCCGCCTGGTTCCCGCGCGTCCCGCCGCCCGCAGCCCCTGCGCGCGGGGCCGGGAGACCCCGGGCTCAGTCCCTGAGGGCTGGGCGGATGGCGGGAAAGGGCGGCGGATATGGAGGGGTTTGGGTGCGAAACGGATCCTAAAGATCGTCCTGGGCCACCCCTGCCATGGGCAGGGACACCTCCCACTGTCCCAGGCTGCTCCATGCCCCGTCCAGTCCTGGGATCCAGGGGCACTTGGATCCTTGGGCACTGCCAGGGATCCAGGGGCAGCCCCAGCTGCTCGGGGCACCCTGTGCCAGGCCTCAGCACCTCACAGGGAGGAATTCCTTCCCAATATCCCCTCTCTGGGATTTGATGGGGACCTAGGCATAGGTCTGCCACCTTCCCGAGAGCATCCCAAGCTTTACCCGGCTTTGCGCCCTCCAGATTTTCTTCCCGGAGCTCTCCTAGGCTCTGGAAGCACATTCTGTCCTCTCAGAGGAAAAAGGAAAAAGGGCTGGTTCGTCCCATCCTGTGAAATTCCACCTCGCTCCAGCTGATGGCACGATTGGGAGCGTGTGGAGCCGAGCTTTTTCCCAGGAAGACAGACAGCCTGTTGGACAAAATCCCAGTTTTCCATCTCGGGTATCCGAGACAGCGCAGCCTCACACCCAGCCTGTGCTTGTTCCCACCAGGAATGAGAGCAGGGAAGAACCTGGTTCTTATAAAATGAGAAAATAAATACGAGTCACCAGGTCAGGGATGGGACCCGAGTTATCTGCGGGATGAGCAGCTGGCAGTTGGAGCTTCCAAAGGATTTCCAGCCCCGGGAATAGGCTCCCACCAGCAGGAGTTAATGGGATGTCAGTCCACAGGAGAGGTTCCTTCCATGGGACATGTGGGATGGAGGCAATGATCCCTGCAGGCTTCCAGCTCCTCCTGTGTCTGCCTTACAGCTGCGTAACCTTCCAAACACACAGCAAAGGGAAAATCCCTGGGAAAGTGGCGGCTGCCTTCGGCCTCACACTGGCAGTCGGCTCTGGAGTGTCCATTCCGTGTCCCAAAGCAGCTGGCCGGCACACCTGGGCTGTCCTGGGGTGATCCTGTAACCCAAACAGCCTCGGGGGTGTCTGCAGTGAAATGGGGGGTCTGGGATCGGCCCTGTGGAGCAGCTGCTGGCTCGGGAATGCAGCTTTGCAAGGCAAAAATGGATTTACATGAGGGGACATATTTCCCCTCCTGGTTGCTGTGTGAGCAAGAAAAGACAATAAATTACACTGCTTATTTCAGGGAGGCAGAATTGCTTAACACTTAAAACCAGGACCAATTATTTTTTCTTCCTGGCTCCATCTCATCACATCTGACCTTAGGAAGGACGTCAGCTCTCCTGCAAAATTCCCATATTTTAGGGTGACAATAATCACTAAATCCTCCCAGGGAGTGGGACTGGTCAATATTAAAAAAGGTGTTTAAGCTTTTTGTTGGTTCAGATGTTCCTAAAGCTCCTGCTGTAACACCAGGTTTGCACTGTAAAATCAGTTTAAAGCAGCAGAAATCTGCATTCTTTCTAAAACGTGATGGCAGATTCC